TCTGATGTCCTTTGGAGCCCCCAGCGCCGGCACGAAGGTCCTCTCCTTGATCCAGTCCAAGGCGTTGCGAGAAGTGTACTGTGAGGTGCCGTTGACCTAGTTGCACCAGATGACGCTAAACTGTCTGCAGCGTGGCCGCTGCTGCCAGGATCCCTGCAAGGCATTTCTTCTTGTCCTCTGGTCTTTCGTCTGGCCGCCCTGCTGCGGTGAGGTTGTCCAGCAGGCCTGGGCCCTCCCACGTCTGGATCTGGCTTAGGCGCAGGTGCAGCTGACCCACCTCTAGCGCCTGCACCGTGGTCTGATACCCTGTCAGCAGGAGCCCCGAGGCTGCCACTGCCAGGCCAGTCCGGAGCCCCTTCCATAGGTGCGTCGCACTCGATCTTGGCTTCGTCCGCTGCCTCCCGGAGGATCGCGAGAAGCGCCTGGTAGGCCACGTCGACCTTGGAGCTGCCCTGTAGGCTGAACCAGGCGCGGATGGCTTCGATCGCTGCTTTGAGCCCCTATCGAGCCCTGCTCCCTCTTGATGTTGGCTGGCTTCTGCCTCGGTAATCTGGTCACCGAGCTCGTTGAAATGCTGCCTTTTCTGGCCACGTTTGTTCTGCGATCTTGGGCTGCTGCTTCTCCAGATCGTTGGGCTTGTGAGTGTGTGTTGCCCTTCTGCTGCTCAAGATTATGCTTCGCCGCCTGGAGAGCACCCAGCGTCTGGGGCGGACTTCTCCTCGTACTTGGCTGTCAGCTTCCCGAGCGTGTCTGCGATGTCCGTCCCTGCTGTTTCGCCACCGACCTCCTACTTGAGCCTGCTTAGCTGCCTTACCCTCACGCTTGAGATCTGTGAAGGGGTTCCGAAGCTCCTCGATTTGGCTGGCCTGCTGCTTGAAGCGCTTGTGCTCCCAGGGTGTGCACTTCGTGGCCGCCGTAGCTGATGACGCCCACGCCCCCCTGGTGTTTGAAGGGGTCCCACTGCGGCCGAGCCTCGCCAGCTTGTTGTTCTTGTTCACGCGTTGGGCTCGACCTTGGTGCAGCACTGTCAGCTCAGCACGCTTGACCCTCGACGCCCAGTCGCCTGCGAATCCACAGCTCCGACTGATCACGCTGCGCGGCCAGATGCAGTCGGCATCGAGGGTGACTGTAGCCCACCGCCAGGCGGCGTTAAACCCGACCCCTCCTGAAACTGCTGAGATTGCTCGCCCCGTGACTTCTCCTGTCGCAGGTCGAAGTCGCAGCCGCGATCGTCATGCTAGCACCTGACATGCTCGAGGCCTGGCCCCTTGGCCCTGGCTTCCTGCATGAAGGCCAAGTCTGGCTGCGGGAGGCCCTCTTCGGTGAACTCCCCTCTGATGTCCTTTGGAGCCCCCAGCGCCGGCACGAAGGTCCTCTCCTTGATCCAGTCCAAGGCGTTGCGAGAAGTGTACTGTGAGGTGCCGTTGACCTAGTTGCACCAGATGACGCTAAACTGTCTGCAGCGTGGCCGCTGCTGCCAGGATCCCTGCAAGGCATTTCTTCTTGTCCTCTGGTCTTTCGTCTGGCCGCCCTGCTGCGGTGAGGTTGTCCAGCAGGCCTGGGCCCTCCCACGTCTGGATCTGGCTTAGGCGCAGGTGCAGCTGACCCACCTCTAGCGCCTGCACCGTGGTCTGATACCCTGTCAGCAGGAGCCCCGAGGCTGCCACTGCCAGGCCAGTCCGGAGCCCCTTCCATAGGTGCGTCGCACTCGATCTTGGCTTCGTCCGCTGCCTCCCGGAGGATCGCGAGAAGCGCCTGGTAGGCCACGTCGACCTTGGAGCTGCCCTGTAGGCTGGACCAGGCGCGGATGGCTTCGATCGCTGCTTTGAGCCCCTATCGAGCCCTGCTCCCTCTTGATGTTGGCTGGCTTCTGCCTCGGTAATCTGGTCACCGAGCTCGTTGAAATGCTGCCTTTTCTGGCCACGTTTGTTCTGCGATCTTGGGCTGCTGCTTCTCCAGATCGTTGGGCTTGTGAGTGTGTGTTGCCCTTCTGCTGCTCAAGATTATGCTTCGCCGCCTGGAGAGCACCCAGCGTCTGGGGCGGACTTCTCCTCGTACTTGGCTGTCAGCTTCCCGAGCGTGTCTGCGATGTCCGTCCCTGCTGTTTCGCCACCGACCTCCTACTTGAGCCTGCTTAGCTGCCTTACCCTCACGCTTGAGATCTGTGAAGGGGTTCCGAAGCTCCTCGATTTGGCTGGCCTGCTGCTTGAAGCGCTTGTGCTCCCAGGGTGTGCACTTCGTGGCCGCCGTAGCTGATGACGCCCACGCCCCCCTGGTGTTTGAAGGGGTCCCACTGCGGCCGAGCCTCGCCAGCTTGTTGTTCTTGTTCACGCGTTGGGCTCGACCTTGGTGCAGCACTGTCAGCTCAGCACGCTTGACCCTCGACGCCCAGTCGCCTGCGAATCCACAGCGGCACGGCCAGTGCGGGGTCCGGTTGCCTCGAAGGGCCACGAGCTCTGCCTCCGGTGGTGGCGGCGCTATGCCTCCGGATATGGAGTACCAGGGTCGACCCTGGAATTAGAAAAACCATGGAAAACTGGCCGCGGACCCGCATTATCAGTTGAGACCTCCGAGAGACACAGCATCTTGAACCAAAATGGCTCCGGAGATGAGAGTCGAGTAAATTAAAGTAAGGTGCAGTTGAATAGAATCGAGCAAACCAGAGTAGCGCAAGGTGAGGTAAAGTAGGGTAGAGAAAGGCATCGTGTAGAGTAAGGGTGAATGGTAAAGTAGAGTCGAGTAGCAGACAGAATAGAGAAGAGTAGAGGAGAGAATGTAAGAGTCGAGCCCAGCAAATGGAAGTAGAGCAGAATTGGAGCAGAGAAGAATAAAGTAGAGTAGAGCAGATGAAAGCAGAGTAGAAGAGAGTGGAGTAGAGAAGGACTGGGTAGAGTAGAGTCGTCTAGAATAAAGCAGAGTTGAGTAGAGTAGATGCTAGAGTAAGGCCGGGTCGAACAGAGTGGAGTACAGTATAGTGGAGTAGAGCCCACCCAAGTCCAGTCCAGTCTTATCTAGTCCAGTTGACCTCAGTCCACTCCAGTCCACTTCGTTCCAGTCGTCCGATCTATTTGGACTCTGCTCTTGCTGATATGTGGCGCTGGCCTCAGCGCCGCGCACATTCGATTAGGATGGAGGGCGGTTCCGTTTCGGTATTTGCCTTTCGTGCTGAAGACGCGCACATTCGTATCAAGAGACGCAACACATTCACAGATGACTGAGCGTTACGGCTTGGTTTAGGACCGTCAGGGCGCAACAATCACGTTCATTTGCGACGCTGAAGTCCAAGGAATGAAGTTCTGGCACGGTGAAGATTATCCAGCGGTTTGTCTTACAGTGGGGCAACTATAATAATGTCCGCGGGGACCTATGAAGAGAGGGAGGGTGCATTAAAACATCATGCATGCGACTTGGGTGTACGCGGGTCATCCTCCCTCTCCTCCTCATCCTCCTCCTGCTCCTTCCGCTCCTCCTCCTCCTCATCCACAGTATACTCCTCATCCTCCTCCACCTCGTCATCAACCTCATCATTATAACCAGAATTCGCATCACAAAAAAAATAATATCAGTTATCATGATCACCAGCAGCATCATGAGCAGCACCATGGTCAGATTCACCTTCGTCATATTCATCAGCAGCGTCGGCATCATCATCATCATCATCATCATCATCATCATCATCATCATCATCATCATCAGCATCATCATCATCATCATCATCATCATCATCATCATCATCAGCATCATCATCATCATCATCAGCATCATCATCATCATCACGATCATCATCATCATCATCATCATCATCATCAGCAGCATCATCATACTCATCACCATCATCAACATCAGCATCAGCGTCACCATCATCAGCAGCATCATCATCAGTATCACCATCACTGTCATCACAATCATCACTAGCATCATCATCATCATCATCATCATCATCATCATCATCATCATCATCATCATCATCATCATCAGCATAATAATCCTAATCATCATCGGCAGTATCATCATCAGCAGCATCATCATCATCATCATCATCATCATCATCATAAGCACCATCAGCATTATCATCAACATCTTCATCATCATCAGCATCAGCATCAATATCATCATCACCGTCATCACCATCATCGTCATGCTCGCATCGTCATCAGGTTCACCAAAACCACCATTAGCATCATCATCATCATCAGCATCATCGTCGTTGGCGTAGTCGTGATGGTCGTCGTCACCAGCGTGATCAGCGTACTACTCATCATCATCATCATCATCATCATCATCATCATCATCAGCAGCATCAGCATCACCACCATCATGATCATCATCAGCATCACCATCATCAGCATCGTCATCATCATCATCATCAGCATCAACACCATCACCAGCCTCATCATCAGCATCACCATCAGCATAATCATCATCACCATCATCACCATCACAACCATCAGCATCATCACCATCATCATCATCGCCATCATTACCATCAAAACCATCGTCATCATGCTCATCAGCATCGCCATCATGTTCACCACAACCACCATCAGCATCATCAGCATCGGCATCATCACCATCACAATCATCACCACCATCATCAGCAGCATCATCAAAATCAACAACATCATCATCAGCATAGTCGTCATCAACATCAGAAACGTCATCAGCATAAGCAGCAGCAGCGTCATAATCATCAGCAGCGCCATTATCATCAGCAGCAGCATCATCAGCATCACCATCTCCATCATCAGAATTTTCATGTGGCTCATCATCGCACCCTCACATCATCATATGCAAGATCGCCATCAACAAAAACACCATCATCGTAATCATCAGCAGCACCGCCATCGTCATTGTCATCGTCATCGTCATCGTCATCATCCTATTCCTCCACCTCCGCCTCCACCTCCTCATGTTCCTCATCCCCCTCCTGCTGCTCCTCCTCCTCCCTCCTCCTCCCTATTCTTCCTATTCCTCCTTTCTTCTGCCCTCCATCAGGCGCCTCAGTCGGACTCAGAGCCCGCCGCGTCGTCCTTGAACTCTGTGGAAGCGTCCGAAGGCGCGTCCATGACGAGCTCGGCCTTCTCCCCGCGCGCGAGGTCCTCGTGGATTCTTGCGTGTGCGGCAGGATGGACAGCTCTGAGAGAGACAACAAAAGGAGACGGAGAAGGAGCGAGAGAGGAGGAGAGGGAGAACGAGTGAGAGAGGAGGAGAGAGAGAGTGAGAGAGAGTGAGAGTAAGTGAGAGAGAGGTAGAACAAAAACAAAAACAAAAAAAAGATGCGGACGGAGTCCGAACCAGCGCCGCGGCTACCAGCGCCGCGCACGCTGAACCCTTGTGGCCAGGGCGGGCATGGAACGCGAGAGGCCAGGCGGCTCCCTTGGCGTGTACGACCAGGGGGCGCTCGACGGACGAAGCGGAAGGCGGCCCGGCCAAATCGCAGCGTGACGACCTTCTGGGCAACGGTACGGTCGGACCTAGGACAGAAGAAATTCCTTCAAGAACATGAGACCCTCCGCCGGCCAAAACCCACAGAGCCGCCAAGGGTACCCTCCCCAAGATGCACTAGAACATCCAACAAGCACGAAGAACAGTAGGGCACCCTCCCCGAACCGACCTCGACCTTACACCTCCGTCCGACCGTACAGAGGGGGCGCCCAAGAGCGCGCGGCGGGTGACAGCGTGCCACAGCCCCGCGGGGAAGCAGGCCTCCGCGGAGGGCAGCCCCGACGAGGGGCCAGAAGCTACCCGAGGCCTGGCTGCCAGGAAGGCGGACGGGGCTGCAGAGCGTGGAACGCGGGGCCGGTGGCCGCGCGGAAGACGCAGTGGAGCACATGACCGCTGTAGGGACAGTGGCGAGCAGAGCCTGGGTCCGGGTGACTGCGGCGGCCTGGAAGGGCGCCGAGAGGGGGAGATAGAAAGAGAAAGAGAAAGAGAAACAGAAAGAGAGAGGGGGGAGGAGGAGAAGGAGGAGGAGGAGGAGGGCGAGGGAGGTGGGGGAGGGAGAGAGGCAAAGACGGACGGAACGAAGGGGGGATGGGGGAGAAGAGGCAGAGGGAAGGGGCAACCCGTCATGAAGAGGGGAGAGATGAAGATGGAGAAAGTGGGAGAGAGAGAGAGATACAATCGATAATATTCTTATATGTACATCGGCCCCCACTGCCAAGACACATGTGTACGTACTTTCGATATCACGACCTGTCCTTCGATCTAACTATCTTGGGACAACCATCGGGACAATCATCGGGACAACCATCCCAACAATCATCGGGGCAACCATCGGGACGACCACTGGGACAACCATCGGGACAACAGTCGGGACAACCACAGGACAATCACAGGACAACCACGGGACAACCACGGCACAACCACGGGAAAACACCAGGACAATGATAGGACGACCACAGGACAACCGCGGGAGCACCCATCCGCACGATCGGCGCAGAGAGACAAATCATTCATCACCCGTATCCCCCTCTGCTCCTCCTGCGCCTCCACATCCTCTTCCTCCGAAGGATCGTGTCCTCGATGATCTGGTCTGCGATGTCCGTCCAGCCACGCTTCCGGCAGGCATGACTTAGACACTGGCAAGTGCTGCCGCATGCGGGCACCTTCGACCGAATCATCTCGTTGTAGAGTGCGATGGCGTCCTCGGAGGGAAGGAGGCGGCGGCGGTGCAGACAGACTGGGATAAGAGGAAGACGAAGGGAAGGCGATGAGAACGAGGGGGATGACGAGGAGGACGAAGAGGGGGACGACGAGGAGAACGGTGAGAACGAGGAGGAAGAGGAGCGCGAAAACGAAGAGGAACGCCCGCGAGAAGGAAGAGGAACGCCAGGAGGAAGAGGAGCACAAGGAGGAAGAGGAGTGTGGATGGTGAGGACTAGAAAGAAGCAAAGGAGGAGGACGAGGCGAAGGAGGAGGACGAGGAGACTGGTACTGTGATAGTGGGGCCTAGAGCTGTCGAGGCGGCACATCCGGAAACACCTGTCCTTTTGAAGAGAAACAACAATTATCCTGGCGAAAGACCCAACCATATGCAGCTGTGGCTACCGCAATTGTGAATATTTTTTTCGGTGAAGCTCCCATGGTGCCACGAAGCGCTGCACTGGGTGGGGGGGAACGCATGCGGGCGGTAGCACCAGAGCTGTCGGTGGAGCTCCCTATGGGACCACGAAACGCTGTGTTGGGTGGGTGGAAATGCCAAATTGGGCGTGTGGGACGCATGCGGGCGGTCCCAATGGGGGCTTCGGTGGAGCCCCCTACGAGGCCACGAAGCGCTGCGCTGGATGGGGAGGAACGCACGCGGGCGGTAGCAGTGGGGCCGTCGGTAGAGCTCCCTATGGGGCCACGAAACACTTTACTGGGTGGGTGTAAATGCCAAATTGGGTGTATGGGACGCACGCGGGCGGTTCGCAATGAGTCGTCCACTCCACAGCTCGCACAAACATCCCACCCACCCAAGCGCAACCTGGTTTGCAAACCCATGCGGCGGCGATTGCGATGAGTGTTTGGTGATGGCTGGTGCATCCCTGCGGTCGCGCTAGCCCGCGCATGCTCGCGCGCGCAACGGCCACCTAGTTTGGCGTGACCGACGCGAACGCGGTGGCGCTGACCGCTCGGCACATCCCAACGGGCACTTCAGTGCGAGTCGGCGACTTGGGCGGGCGCAGTGCCATGGCCACGTCGGCAACGGTAGACACGAAGCTTATAGTAGCGATGCTGGTGGCGATGCTGACAGCGACGACGCGGCAGCCAGTGACGGCGCCGATGCTGATCACGCCGACGACGATGACGGCGTCGTCGCGTCGGTGGTGAAGGTTTTGGAAGGAGTTCGAAATCCGCGCGCGCGGCAGACGCGCGAGTGGCCCGCATGGTATGATTTAACGCGGATCGTGTCCCCCCAGACGCGCGCAAGGGCGTTCGAACGATTTCGACCTGCGCGTGCGCGAAGCACGTTTGGTAGCACGTTCTGGAAATGTTGAAGAACTTCTGGTTTCCTTAAGAATTCGCAAGAGCGCGCGCACAAGCTTGTTGGGGAACCCGGTGTTGCGAAAACATGTGTTGTTGTATGTGTTTGAACACTCGATTTTGAAATCCTCCCGAAACCGAAAGAAGTTGAAGGACTTCGGCATGCGCGTGCGACGCCGCGCGCGCGTACTTCGTCACATTGTTCGCAGGGGATTTTTGGAAAAGGGCCACGAAACGCTGCACTGGGTGTGTGTGGGACGCACGCGGGCGGTTCCACTGGAGACTTCGGTGGAGACCCCGATGGGGCCACAAAACGTATGAGTGGTGTGCTGAAACGGATGATGATTTTTTCCACCACCTCACTCTGTCGCACGACGGTGGGCCCGCATTGGGTGGGCCGGCCCCGCCGCGTACCCAATGCACAGGTGGAGGCCGACTTGCACCACCGTGCCCAGCACCATGGCCACCAGGAAGGAGAAGAAAGGGTACATGATATGACGACCGGCAGGGAGATAGCCTCAGGCAGGAACACGAAATAACCAGCGATGCCGTCTGGATCCGAGACGAGGCCGATTTAGACCAGAAGAGGCCGCCGACCCAGTACATGACGAAGCCAGGCTTGCGGGAAAACGCCAAGAAAGTCGGCCTCATCATCCTCCAAGCGCGTGTAGAACATCCATCGCTGACAGCTTCTGATCGGGGTTGTCCTCGAGGCTCGCCACATGCATCTGAGCTCTCGTACAGCAGCGGCCAGGCAAGCGGTGGGAGGCCAACAGGTCTGCACAAGTGCTGGCTCGGACTATCCAGCTGGTCCGCAAAGTACCGCGCCAGTGCATCAAAAGATGCCATAATGGCACTTTTCGTGCAGGGCTTGTGTAAGAGCAGGTTGATGACTTTGTCTGACTTCTGAAGCCCATGCGGAATCAGACCATGCAAGTACTGAAACTGGCCGCCCTCAGGCGAAGCAGGAGCACGCCCAAGAGCAGGGAAAGCGGGGGCAGGCTGGAACTCCCCCGGCCCCTCCTCCACGACCTCCAGCCGAGCCAACTTTCGGGGCGGCGACTCCGAGGCAGCATCAGGACGAGCAGCACCATCACTTTCAGGAACATGGAGGACACGTCGCTCCACAGGGCCAGGATGATCATCAGCACCTTCATCCCCAGCACCGCCACGAAGTGGAACGACCGCTTCGGAAAGAGTTGCACCACCAGGGATCACGAAAGCGATCGTCAGCAGCCTGTAGACCTAGAGGGGCGAGGCCTTCAGACTCAGCATCGACACGAAGGCGGGCGGCAGCATCAGGATGGACAGCAATAGCACCTTCAGACACGAGAGGGCCACGTAGCTCCACAGGACTATGATGATCCGAACCACCTTCGACTCCAGCATCGTCTCTGAGTAGACCGACTGTTTCAGAAAGAGCTGCACCCTCATGGGAAGCTGGACCACTATCACGATGACCTCCAGCGTCGCGAACGCGAGCGCCAGCAGTCGGCATCCCAGGAAGAGCGAGACCATCAAGAACTCGATCAGCAGGATCGGCACCAGGAAGATCAGCCCCAGACGGAGCATCGCCATCATGATGAGCGAGGCCTCCACGAAGCCCAGGAATCGGACGCAGTACAAGTGAGACGATGCAATCGCCCGAAGAGGATTTGTGCCCATGGTCCGATGCCACAACTCCTTGGACTTCCGAGGCCACGTGCATGAGCCAGCTGACCAGGAAGCCGTTGCACATCTCCTGATCCCGCTCGTTCAGGAGGCGGATGGGCAGGACTGCCTTCTTAACGTGAGAGTTGAAGACAAAATGCACCGTACGACCTTGGAGAATCTGCTGAATCAGCCACTCCAGCCGAGCCAGCGTGACCATCAAGCAAGAGGACCGGGCAATGACAAAGCAGCAGGGAGCGCACGTGCGCGGTACTGGCCCTTGACTCCAGCAAATGCTTGAGCCGATATGGCTGTGTGCTGAAACGGATGATGATGATGATGATGATGATGATGATGATGATGATGATGATGATGATGATGATGATGATGATGATGATGATGATGATGATGATGATGATGATGATGATGGTGATGGAGGAGGGAGGAGGGGGAGGAGGAGGAGGAGGAGGAGGAGGAAGAAAAGGAGGAGAACGCGGGGACCGCTATTTCAAAACGGGGACGCAACACCACAGGATGGTTGGAAAAATAACTGACAACAAAAGCTCAACGTCCTCTTCCTCTTCCTCCTCCTCCTCGTCCTCCTCATCTCCACCTCCACATCATCCTCCTCCTCATGCCCCTCCTCCACCTCCTCCTCCTCCTCCTCATCATCATCATCATCCTCATCCTCATCCTCATCAGCATCCTCATCCTCGTCCTCATCCTCCTCTTCCCCCCAGTCATCATGATCATCACCATCGTCATCAGCAGCAGAATCATCAACAAGTTCGGCTTCGACACCGGTATCATCACTACAACAACCACCATCACCATAAAGAGCATCATAAATATCACCAAAATCATCACCAGCACCATCATCGTCATCCACATCACCATCATCCTCCTCAGCATCAGCAGCATCGTCATCATTAATGAAATCAGCAGCATCAGCATCATCAGCAGCAGCAGCGTCATCATCATCATCATCATCATCATCAGCAGCAGCAGCAGCAGCAGCAGCATCTTCATCATCGCCAGCTTCATCAGCCTCACCATCACCAACAACAACACCATCATCAGCATCCTCCTCCTCATCATCAGCAGCATCACCATCACCCTCATCATCAGCATCGTCAGCATCATCAGCACCATAATCATCAACGGCATCAGCATCATCATCAGCATCATCAGCATCAGCATCACCGTTATCATCATTATCATCAGCATCAGCAGCGTAAGCATCATCCGCAGCAGCAGCATCATCATCGACATCATCAGCAGCATCAGCATCACAGCAGCAACAGCAGCAACATCATCATCGACATCATCGGCATCATCAGCATAAGCATCATAATATGCATCATCACTATCATCCTCGCACGCATCAACATTATCGTCATCAGCATCAGTCTCATCATCGTCATCATCCGCATCATCATCAGCAGCAGCATCAGCATCATCAGCATCAGCAGCATCATCCGTATTACCAGCACCACCATCACCACCACCATCATCATCATCATCATCATCAGCAACATCATCATCATTAGCATCGGCAGCATCACCAATCGCCAACATCAGCAACATCAATATCATCATGATCACCGTCAACACCGTCAACTATATTACCACCGTCATCAGCATCAGCATCATAAGCAGCAGCAGCAGAATCAGCATCAGCATCATCTTCATCTTCTTCATCATCATCATCATCATCATGATCATCATCATCATCATCATCATCATCATCATCATCATCATCATCATCATCATCATCATCATCATCATCATCATGGTCGTCGTCGCCATCGTTGAAGTATCATCACCAGCAGCATCAGCACCAGCACCAGCATCAGCATCAGCATCATCAGCATCATCATCGAAGAAATCATCGCCAGTATCCTCGTTCCCTCGTATTCATCACCAGCATCAGCATCAACATTATCGCAACTTCACAACATCACCATCATCGCCCTCATCACCAGCATCGTTGTCACCAACATCAGTCACCCCCGTCTACATCAGCAGCCGCATCACCAGTAGCATGCTCATCGTAATTCTCAGCATCATCATCATCAGCAGCATCATCAGCATTATCATCAGCATCAGCATCATCATCATCATCATCATCATCATCATCATCATCATCATCATCATCATCATCATCATCATCATTAGCGTCGTCATCATCAGCATCAGCACCATCATCAGCATCACCATCATCATCAGCATCAGCATCACCATCATCATCCCCATCAGCATCATCATCAGCAGCATCATCGTCACCACCACCATCGTCATTATCCTCCTCCATATAACCGAGCTCATACAGACTTGAGAGGCATGTTGGTCACCCCTCAAACACCTAGAACGAACGTTGAGTATGCGTTGGCCGCTTGGGGGGTCATCTTCAGTTGTCCCCTCAGGCCCCCCTTCCCACCAGCCCAGCATTGAGATGGCCGATACGAAAAATACTGTCTCAAACATGTTGTCATCTCTTGGTGGCGGATCGTTTACTTCTGCCGCCTTCGGCCAGCCTTCCGCCTGCTTCCGCCGGCCGAGCCGCCGCCGTTTTGCTTCCGCCGCATTCCGCCGACCTTCCGCCGCCCTCCGCCGAGGAAGAGGTGGCAACTCCTTCGATTCGCGCAGGCAAGGCCGTTATTAGAACGCCTCGCATGAGGGGGGTCGGGGGGGCATTCTGCACATACAGCGGTATTCGGAGGCCGCCACCGTGCCCGGGGCGCCAAGTGGCATGCCCGATACGCATGGCGCCCCATCACTCCGCAGAGGCACCAGATCTCAAACTGCTCCTGGGGACGGCCGCATGAATTTTTGGTCCGGAAGCCCGAGAGCTCTGTGGGGCTCAGACTGCCAAAATGCCTCAGAAGTGTCACGTGGGCCAGTCCTGGAGCCGTCTTGGGCACCTCTTGGACCGTCTTGGTGCCTCTCGCAGTATGGCCTACTATTGCTTGAAAGCGTCCAAGATGGACGAAGAGGCCCCCAAGATCGCCAACAGACAACCAACCAAGCGACCAAGAGGGAAGACTGCTCCAAGAGGGGCACACAAAAAACGTGTTACTGCCAAACCGCGGAACGACTACCATCCAACATAAATCTAAGGCCTCCGTGAGGCCCCCACGAGGTCCTGAAGCGGCCCCCGAGAGGCCCCCAAGGTGCTCCCATCGTCCCAACACGGACCCCATGAGACTTCCCCCAAAAAACCCAAGAGACCCTCCAAAGGACCCCAAGAGGCGTCCGAAAGGCCTAGCCACGGCGGCGGGTTGAGCCAAAGGCCACGAGATCCACCGCCCCCTTCTGCTTGCAAAGGATTGAATGGCGCGCCAGACTTTCGAAGACTTGCTGACCCTTCCAAGAGGTTCCCAAGAACATCCGACTCAACCTGCTGGCACCCCAGGAGCGCTCGTAAAAACTCGATCCGATCGCCTTTCCCGCCTAAGATGGCTCCAGGGTGGCCCAAGGTGGTCTCCGATACAAAACTGCCCCGAGACGCCTCAAAGACGGCAAAGCTGATGCCAAGCGGGTCTCAGATGGCTCCTAGATGACCCAAGACGGCCATACACGATGGCCCAAGACGGCCCCAGAGGTTCCAAGACGGCCCATGATGGCGCCCAGAGGCCTAAGCGACCCTTAACACGCCCCAAGAGGCCTCCAGGAGGACCTCCAGGATGACCCCAAGGGGCCGAAATTATTGAATTTCTGTGGGCAGTCGAAACATTGTCTCGCTCTCGCCTTCTTGGGCTTGCGATAGCCGAAGACGGCCCCAGAGGCCTCCAAGATAGCACCAAGATGGCCCAAGACGCACCTAAGAGGGCCCAAAGACGGAGCAGGCCCCCAACACGCCAAGGCCCCCGACATGCCCCCCATATGCTCCAGGCGGCCCCTGAAAAGCCCATCAAAGCCGCCAACAGGAGAACCCAAGAGAACCTCAAGAGAACCCCAAAAGGCCCTCAAGGGGCAAGCTCTTCCTCCTCCTCCTCCTCCTCCTCCTCCTCCTCCTCCTCCTCCTCTTCTTCATCCTCCTCATCTTCCTCCTCCTCCACACCTTCGACAGCAACAGGCTGGAAAGGTCAGGGACGGGCACCCCTCCTGTCCTCGCCCAGGAGGGGGCTCTTCACGCCGCCAAGGGATCGTAAGGAAGCGGCCCACGACAGCAGACGGCATGGGTCAGGAACGCCACGCCACCCACCCCACCACCGCTGCGCAGCACGGCTCCACGTCCCAAGCGGCCTCGGGCGGAGCCGGCCTCGGGCTAGCAGCTCGAGAGAAACACACGGGCGGGAGCGAGGAGGGGGGGCCTGGAGCCGCCACGTGAGACCACGGCAGCGGAAGGCGGCAGCTCCAGCCTCCGCGCCAGGGCCCTGCCTGCAGCGCGCCCGCCTGGACCAGAGCACCGGCCGTCCCCAGGGGCCGTCGGATACCCGCCGGCAGGACCCTCAGCGCCCAGGAGCTCGGCAGAGCGCGCGGCGACGGGGGAGGCCAATGAAGACGGCTCTTGGGCGCCGATTGATGGGGGCGCGATAAACGGGGGGGAGGAGAAAGGTGTACTTCTTTTTTATGTTTTTCATGCTTCTATATTTTTTGTTTTTTTGGGGGGGAGAGAAAAGGTGTACTTCTTGGCCCGGGCCCAAAGGGCCACCTTCGGGGACCCCTTCAGGGGCCCTGGAGGGCCTCTTTTCAGCAGCCCCCGCTGCCCCCCCTTCATCGCCCCCCCATGGTCGGCTACACGCAAGAGTGTCCCTACGAAGGCAAGAGTGACCTTTGGTGCGCGGCTCTCGGGGAGCCGCGTGGGGGCTAAACCCAAGCGCACGAGAAACAACTATCGGATCGCATTCGGCGACCGGGGTACCCCAATGGGCGCGCACCAAAGGTCACTCTGGCGAAAGGTCACTCTTACGTGTAGTCGGCATGACGCGACGCCCGAGGCTTCTGCCCTTCCCTGAGGGCCGGCTCGGGGCAGCCTGCCCGCCAGCCAGCAGCCCAGAAGGGGCCCGCAGAGGGCCAGGCCGGTGCCCGCTCTCGGCGCCGCCCTACATCGGCCAGCGCCGCTGCCCGCCGCGGGGTGGCGGAGCCCCAGGTGCGGCAGCCATAGCGAGTCCACCGCCTCTCCCTTCCACGCCGCCGCTCGGACGTCCCTTCCCCATGCACGTGTCGGTTTCGTGAGCGCATGTTCCGCAGGTTGACCCAGGATGCTCCCCGATGGCCCTCGCCGAAAGCAAAATGCACACGTCCGAGCGATGCCAAGCTTCTGGCGGCAACCATCTACGCCACGCAGCAGCAGCGCGAGACCGGCGGGCTCGCCGGCGGCGACCTCCTCTGCTGCACGACCCGCGGCGGCTGTACGCGCCAGGCGACGCGAGCCATAAAGCACGGTTCTGAGCGTTCGCCGCCGCTCCGAGGCGGGCAACGGGTGCCTTGGGGACCTCGCCAGCCCAGCACCTTCTGTCCTCGAGGCGTGGGCGGGGCATCCCAGATGCGTTTCGGAGGCCGCCCAGAGGCGGAGCCGCCCAGACGGCTGCCAAGCGACGGGCCCCGAGAGGTCCGCGCTAGATGTTGTGCTCGCATCGTTTGGGCTCACCGAAAGCTCGGCCATTCGCGCTGGGGCCCAGTGGCCGAGGATAGAGCTTAATGAGGGTCAAGGCCGTAAGGCTTGCTCGGTAGGTAGCCCAGTGGGTATTCAAATCGGCATGAGGCTCTTTCGGGAAGAATCCAGACTCCTCCTCCTCCTCCTCCTGCTCCTCCTCCTGCTCCTCCTCTTCCTTCTCCGTCTCCTCCTCCTCCTCCTCCTCCTCCTCCTCCTCCTGCTTCTCCTCCTCCTCCTGCTTCCTCCTCACATCCTCCTCCGCCTTCTCCTCCCCTCGTCCTCAGAATCCTCCCTCTCTTCCTCCTCCACCTCCTCCTCCTCCTCTTCCTCCTCCTCGTCCTACTCCTCCTCCTCCTCCTCCTCCTCCTCCTCCTCCTCCTCCTCCTCCTCCTCCTCCTCCTCCTCCTCCTCCTCCTCCTCCTCCTCCTCTCCTCCTCCTCCTCCTCCTCCTCCTCCTGCTCCTCCTCCTCCTCCTCCTCCTCCTCATCCGCCTCCTCACCCTCTTCATCCTCCTCTCTTCCTTCCAGGACCACAACTCAAGCAGAGCTCTCGCCGACGCCAAATCTGGTCTCGGATCAAATCAAAAGTCCGCGCAAGGGCCCCACCAGGGAGCCACAGCTGGGAGCGTGCAGCAACATTCGAGAAACTGAGGGCCACATGTCCGCCAAAGGCGGGTGGAGCGGATCAGGGAGCACAAGTGAAGTAAGCTCACCCGATCCAACGACGAAGGGCCTTTTGAAGACCGTCGGAAAAAAAAAGCCGCACGCGCAACGCACACGGGAGAAGGAGAAGGAGAAGGAAACGGAGGAGGAGGAGGAGGAGGACGGCCCACCGAGTATCTGAAGCTCGAAGTCCACTAGAATGGCCGCACCTTCACTCGACGTTTCACCACACGGGTGATTCCAGAAACCCGGGGGCGACGGTGGCTCACCGTAGGCGTCGTCGACATTGCCCATGCACGGGAGAAGGGGGAGCGCGCTCGCCAAGGGGGGGGGGGGCGAATGGAGGAGAAGGTCAGATGACTCATCCGCACCAGAGCGCAATCGCCTGATCTGCTCGGCCACTTCACTGTACGAACCTTGCCTCTTTGTTTGCAGGCGCGCCCCGTCGCCGCTTTGCAAACCATCCCCACGCAGCTGGCGCGTCACGGGGAAGGAGGAGGAGGAGGAGGAGGAGGAGGAGGAGGAGGAGGAGGAGGAGGGGGAGGGGGAGGAGGGGGGGGAGGAGGAGGAGGAGGAGGAGGAGGGAGGAGGAGGAGGAGGAGGAGGAGGAGGAGGGGGAGGAGGAGGAGGAGGAGGAGGACTGGGCCTCTGGTGGCGATCGGTGGGCGATTGCAGGTCGACGCATCCCGCCCCAAGCCTGTCCCCCGCCCCCGGTGCCTCTCGGGCCACAGCTCGGGCCTCCCGCGGCCGTGCGGAACGCTCCGGGCACCCCGGGAAACGCGGACGGCGAGGCGCAACTGCTGGAAGGCATCCTGAGGCTGGAACGTCCGAAAATCTCGCGGGGCCCAGGACCGTCCAAAACGAGGAGGAGGGGGAAGAGGAGGGCTCCTCGAGTCTCTGGAGCTTGACGGAGCAGCAGACCGCGTCGTGGTAGGCGAAGCGGTTGGGCTTGACATCCTCCTCCCCCAGCGGCCGGGCCGGTTCTGACCACCCCAAGCTGAAGGGGCACGGGCCTGACCTCCAGAACACTCGGGGAGGAACAGGATCGAGATCAAGACCTTCGGGGAAGGGAGGAGGAAGAGGAGGTGTAGAAAGATCAGAGCAAACCCAGAATGCATCAGCGATGCCATAATACACCCTCCCGTCCGACCCCCATAATACCTGAAAGCCCGACTACTCATGGCGGGAACAGCCCCGTAAGTAACGAGCGCCCCGTAAGCCTCCCATGAAGGCGAGCCTCGCTTTGAAAAGCTATACGTGCTGCGAAGGGGTAGGATCAGAAAGTTCGAAACATTGCCCAGCGAGGGCACAGCTTAGAAAAAGAGTCACCCTCCATCCGTGCAACCGTTGGACAATTTTATACTCCATATCATTTCCCAAGCACTGCTTGCACTTAGGGGTTCTTACCTGTGTTCTCATTCACTGGAAGGGGTCCCCGAGTTTTCACTTAGGGCCCAAGAGGTGGATGGAGGAGGAGGGCGGAAGGAGTGGGCCCTCAGTTGGTGGCCTCCTGCCCCAACTCCATGCCATTTCCTTGTAAAACTTCTCCTTGTCGCACCCCGAACTCGGTCGAAAAGGCGGGCCGGGCGTTTCGGCTGAGACGTCCTCACCAGCTATCATCCTGAAGCTTACAGTTTGAAAGAGCTTCACAGATGCAGGGCGGGTCGCTTTCAAAATGTGGCTCTCTCCTTAGCGCCGCGCACATTCGTCTATTTGCAACAGCGTCATGGATGGAAAGCGGGCCGTTTTCAAACATGTGGCTCTTGCCATTAGCGCCGCACACATCCGTCGCAAAGAATCGCAAGCGCTTCACGGATGGAGGTCAAGTCGTTTTCAAAAAGTGGTTCTCGAATTGGCGACGCGCACATCTGTCGTGAAAACCTCACAATCATGGATGGAGGACGGGTCGTTTCCAAAATGTGGATCTCGCTGCAGCGCCGCGCACAGTCGTTCCGAAAGATTGCAAGGGCGACTCGGACAGAGAGCTGTTCCTTTTCAAAATGTAGTTCTCGCCTTAGCGCCGTGCACACTCGTAAGAGTTGAAAACAGTTTCAAGGATGACAATGGTTAACGTCCCCGAAAGTGTGTTTCGGCACAACGTCGGACTTTCAGGAAGCAGCAGGTATGTCGATTCGCTGTGTTGAAATCCCAGGAACGGCGTTCTTGCACGATCCAAGATCGTCGAGACGCAAAAGTAAAACTACTTCGCGGCATTGGCGTAAGAGGAAAATGCTCTAGCACAGTTCAGGATTTCAAACTGTCCAACCGGTGAAACAAATCCTTGTATAGGGCCTATGAAAAGGGAAGTTGGAAGGAGGGTTTCTTTCGATATCGTTGGTGCGTCTTGGGTTTACACTGGCCCCCTCCTCCTCCTCCTCCTCCTCGTCTTCCTCCTCCTCCCCCTCCTCCTCCTCGCCCTCCTCCTCCATTCATGTACCTTGTAAAAAATCCTCCCTGTCGCACAGTGGGGCCCGTCGGAAGGGCGGGCTGGGTGTTTCGCCTGGTGCTTCCGTACCACCTATGGCCTTGGAGCTAAACTTGGCAGCAGTTTCATAGATGGGGCGGGTGGCTTCCAAAATGTGGCTCTCGCCGTAGCGCCGCGCACATTGGCCGCAGATGGAGAGCGGCTCCTTTCCAACATGGGGCCCTCGCCTTAGCGCCGCGCACCTTCGCCTTAAACATACCGAGATGTTCACGAAGTGAGGGCGGTTCCTTTCCGAGATGTTGCTTTCGCCATAGCGCCGCACACACTCGTTTCAAACATGTGCAGCCATTTCAATGACTCCCATGGCGAACACACCATCAGAAGTTGCGTGTTGGAAAGACTCATGTTTGCCAAAGCGCAACAATTACGCTGATTCGTGCAATTGATAAATCTCTGACCCTTCTCCAGCGGCCCAGAGACCCACTCCAGAGGCTGGTTAGATCCTTCGCTGGGGGATCTCTTTGAACCTTCTCTTTTTGACATGCGCCAGGCGAGCAGAGCGAAAAGGTTCCTTCCGAAGGGATACTCGGTCCACGAGTACATCTGAGGATTCAACAAAGGCTTTGGCAATCACAGCCCATACCCACGAACGGCGTTCTGGCACGATTCAGGGTCGTCAAGACGCAGCAATCCGGTTGATCCGCTGCGTTAAAGTTCCGAGCGTGGTGTTCTAGCACAGTTCAGGATCTTCAAACGGTTATCTCCCAACGGGGCACTTCCCTCAATGGGAATAAGCCCTTCTAGGGGCCCATGAAGACGAAGCTTGGGGGGAACTTCTCCCAACATCGTTGATGAGTCTTCGGTTTACACTGGTCGTCCTCCCCCTCCTTCTCCACGTCCTGCCTCTCTGTCTTCTGTGTGCCTTTTCCGTGCAAATCACTCCTCCCTGTCGCACCCCGAATCCGGTAGAAAGGGCGGGCTGGGCGATTCGCCAGAGACTTCCCTACCGCTTGTGATCCTGGATCTAACCTTGGCAGCAGCTTCACGGATGGAGGGAGGGTCGTCTTCAAAATGCGGCTCTCGCCGTAGCGCCGTTCACATCTGCCGTAAAAATTTGGAAGACCTTCACTGATTGAGGGCGGGTCGTTTTCAAAATGTTGTTCTCGCCTTCGCTCCGCGCACATTCGTCTTAAAAGTTCGCAAGAGCTTCACGGGAAGGCAGGTCGATTGCACGAGTTTCACGGAGCAGGTCGCTTTGAAGAAAATCCGGGTGTTTCACGCATGGATGGCAACTCCTGTTAAAAAGTCGAATTTCTCTTTAGCCGCGCGCACATTCGTTTTGAGAGCTTGCACCAGTTTCAAAGGTTTGCATGGCTGACGCCCCAGAACTGGTGTGTCGGCCCCATGTCGGGCTGTCAGGGCGCAAAAATTACGTTGCTTCGTGTTGATGAAGTCTTCGAAATGATGTTCCGGACGGTGCAGGATCGTCAAGACGCAACAAACGGTGACTTGGAACGTTGAGGTCCTGGGAATGGTGTTCTGGAACACTTGTTTCAAACGGTTGTTTTCCAACGGGGCATCCCTTTGAGCGAACATGAATCGTTGTGAGTGGCTGCGAAGAGAGAACATGGAGGAAGAGTGCATGGCACTATCGTTGATGAGTCTTGGGTGTGCACTGGTACTCCTCCTCCTCCTCCTCCTCCTCCTCCTCCTCCTCCGCTTCCCCCCCCTCCTTCTCCTCCTCCTCCTCCTCCTGCTCCTGCTCCTGCTCCTCCTCCTCCTCCTCCTTCCCCTCTTCGTTTTCTTACTATTCTCAATCTGATTATTATTCCTCCTCCTCATCATCCTCTTCCTCCTCCTCCTCCTCCTCCTCCTCCTCTTCCTCCTCTTCCTCCTCCTCCTCCTCCTCCTCCTCCTCCTCCTCCCACGGCGACGACCGCCACGACGACGACCGCGACCACGCCGACGACGGCGACGACGATGACGACGACGACGGCACGACGAGGACGACGACGACGACGACGACGACGGCGACGACGACGACGACGACGACGACGACGACGACGACCGCGATCGCGACTGCGTTCGCGACCACGACACGACCACGACACGACGACGACGACGACGACAACGACGAGGAGGCCCCGAAGGGTGGCCAACAGCGCTGCTGCGGGGAGGGGGGGCTCCTCCCGCATCGACTCGAAAAGGGCCAACGCCTCTCGCGCCCTGTTGTTGGAGGCGTAGGCCCTGATCAGGGTGCTGTAGGCCTTGGCGGCGGGGGACTCCCTCTCCTCCCGCCTCCTCCTCCTCCTCCTCCTCCTCCTCCTCCTCCTCCCGCCTCTTCCTCATCCGTGGAGCAGACGTGGCGCACGAGGCACGTCGCGTTCTGGAGTGTGTCCGGAAACGACTGTATGGATTCCTTCTCTTCCCCCTCCTCCTCCAACTCCACCTCCTCCTCCTCCTCGTTGTCCTCCTCCTCCTCCTCCTCCTCCTCCTCCTCCTCCTCCTCCTCCTCCTCCTCCTCCTCCTCCTCCTCCCCATCCTCCTCCTCCCTCGGCCTGTCTCGGCGCGCTCGGATTAATCGAGTTGGTGCGCCTCCTCCTCCTCCTCTTCCTCCTCCTCTTCCACCTCCTCCTCATCCTCATCCTTCTCGTCCTCCTCCTCCTCCTCGTCCTCTTCCTCCTCCTCCTCCTCCTCTTCGTCCTCCTCCTCCTCCTCCTCCCCCGCCTCCGCCTCCGCCTCCCCCTCTTCCTCCATCCCTTCTCCTTATAGAACATTCCCCCCGTCGCACCCCGAGAACGGTCGAAAGGGCTGGCCTGGCGTTTTGCCTGAATATTTCTCACCACTTACGGCCCTGATCCTCAAAATTCGCATCCGACTTCCTGATGGAAGGCGGGTCGCTTTCGAAACGTAAGAGTTTGCCGGGCGTTCGCTGATGGAGGGCGTTCGTTTTCAATGAGTGGCTCTCGCTTTAGCGCCGCGCACACCCGCCTTAAAACAACGCAAGAGGTCGACGGATGGAGGGCGGGTCGTTTTCAAAATGTGACTCTAGCCTTAGCACAGCGCACATCCGTCTTCAAAATCCCACCAGCCCTTTGGGCGTGAGTGGTTTAGCGAGCTCTCTCTGTTCTCACCCCCCCTTCTTCCCCTTCGGGGAGGGGTTTACCCCTCCCCCTACCCCCTCCCCCTGGACCTGGAGAGGTCCTTTCGCGGGTGGCTGGAGAGGTCTTTTTCGACTCATGGGAGGGCTAAAAAAACGACACCCCTCACGAGGATTCTGGCCCCGACGGGGGGACTGACAAAAATGCTCGCCCCATCTGTGATCGATCGCCCCAAAGATGGCCCCAACAGGCCCACAAGACGCTCCAAGAGGCGCCCAAGAGGGCCCCCGGACGCTCCCAAGAGGCTCAAAAGAGAGCCCAAGAGGCCCCTTCTACGATCTCCAAGAGGCCTCCAAACTGCCTTGGATACGACGACTACGACTACTACTACTACTACTACTACTACTACTACTACTACTACTACTACTACTACTACTACTACTACTACTACTACTACTAACTACTACTACTACGACTACTACGAACTACGTACTACGACTACTACTACTACTACTACTACTACTACTACTACTATACTACTAACTACTACTACTACTACTACTACTACTACTATTCCCACTACTACTACTATTACTACTACTACTACTACTACTACTACTACTACTACTACTACTACTACTACTACTACTACTACTACTACTACTAGGGGCCCGAACGACTTGCACCAGGACGAGGTGCCCGAACGCCTCACGCCACGAGGAGCCCGAACGACTCACACCAGGACGAGGGGCCCGAACGACTCACACCACGAAGAGCCCGAACGACTCACACCAGAAGGAGGGGCCCGAACGACTCACACCAGGACGAGGCGCCCGAACGACTCACACCACGAGGAGCCCGAACGACTCACACCACGACGAGGGCCCCGAACGACTCACACCACGAGGAGCCCGAACGGGTCACACCAGGAGGAGGGGCCCGAACGACTCACACGAGGACGAGGGGCCCGAACAACTCACACCACGAGAAGCCCGAACGACTCACACCAGGACGAAGAGCCCGAACGACTCACATCACGAAGAGCCCGAACGACTCACACCAGGAAGAAGGGCCCGAACGACTCACACCAGGACTAGAAACCCCAAACGACTCAAACCACGAGGAGCGCTTTCTCTCCCTCCTCCTCCGCCTCGTCCTTCTCCCGCTCCCCCCACAAGGAGGATGTACAAGGAGGCGGGAGGAAGGAGGAACAGGGGAGATATGCGGGGGCAGGCGGAAACACGCCTGAAAAACACTACTGTCGGCATGCTTCGCAAGAGTTGCTGTTTTGAGATAGGCTGGTGGGGATACGCGAAGCGTAAAGAATTTGGACATGTTTCACCGTGGCAAAAGGTGGTTCTCGCCGTAGCGCCGCGCACATTCGTCTGACAAATGATCAAGTGTTCCACGGATGGGAGGCGGCTACTTCTCGAAATGTGTCTCTCGTGTTAGCACCGCGCAGGTTTGTTTAAAAGTTTACAGCCATATGAGGGATTAGCATGGTTAACGTTCCAGCCATGGTGCTGTGGCAGGATGTCGGGATGTTAGGGCGCAAGGGTAGCTTATGTCGATTCGTGGTAGTGAAGTATCATGATGGCCGGCTCAACATCTTCAAAACGAAGCAGTAGCGGTGATGTCTGGCGTTGGAATCCGAAAAATGGTGCCT